TTATTTATTTATTTATTTATTTATTTATTTTTGCTAAAAACAGTTTCTTTTGCCTTTCAAAAATGTTCAAGTTTAAATGACAGAAACAGAAATTAATAACATTAAAAACTGATCTGCCCGTCTTCATTTTTTAAAGTGTAGGTTAAAACGTGAGCACAAAGTGAGCCTCGAGTATGACGCAGGAGAAGTTGGACCACAAAACAAGAGAATACAGATGTAAGATGTACAAACATAACCAGGCTTCCTGCTCTCAAACACTCAGGTCTCAGTGAGACTGCAGATGTCCAACAATAATTTAGACATGCCAACAACTTCAGTCAAACTTTGAAAAACTGCTGTGTTTTGTGGTAAGGCTACATGAGGCTGATGTCAGTGCTAACACAAAGTAATGTGTAAATAAAGCTACAGATTATTGACATTCTTCTCATTCATAGCAGTAGTCATAAACTTAGACAACTATTAATATTAAGTCCTTTACAAGCTGAATTATGGACAAGGTRGCAAAAAGTTACAMTTTTGCSTTTATGTTCKKACTGAAGCCATCTTTTAATAAATCRAGCATGATTTGTAGTTGTAAACATAAAAACTGTGCATCCTAGAAACAGTTTGATCTTATTTTTTAGCTAGTTTTCTAGTAAAACTCCTCATTTGGCTTCCTACCTGTTTATGTGATGCTTCTCGCACATTCAGGATCTTTCCTCTCAGGGGGAAGACCCCGTAACGATCCCGACCGATGACCCCCAAGCCAGAGACAGCCAGAGACTTGGCTGAGTCTCCCTCAGTGAGGATCAGAGTGCATTCAGACGAGTGTTTGCCACCTTAAACAGACATAAAACATACAAGTTTATACCTTTAACACTGAATATATATTTATATTTTCAAACTTTATTCATTTCTTAAATATTGAATATTCTTCATGTCAACCAAAATAAGGTACGTCAAACTATTAAAGCTATTAACAGCAATTGTTCATGAAAGTAATTAATTTTAGAAGTCCAGCAGGAACTCTAAATGTGGGTCTTAACCAAAGTTATTCTTTAGTTTATTTAGGACCTAAAGCAGGGCAGGTTACCAGCCCCTCAAGCTGGGGAGAGGCTGATATTTACAGTTATTTGTACATTAGTTGTTTGTTTAAAATACTACTTGCAGTTTAATAAGTATTATAACTTCTTTTTTTATTAACACACACACACACACACACACACACACACACACACAC